CAAGAAAAAAACATCGTCTTATATTCGGGTCAATACGGTAAATAACTTTTTGCAGTGGAATACCCCTCTGGACATCTAAGTTGCCTGTCATGTCAAAAAACAGGAGAGCCAAACTGCACATGCATCTCATTGTGTCACATGTTTTCATGTAGCGGTCCAGTAAATCAGAGAAACAGAGATATAAGCTGTGTGTCATTCGAAAGTATTAGATCCGGTCATTGTCTTCTACATGAGCATCTCCCATCAGTTTACATTTGGGTAAAAATTAAAAAAATTAAAGATGTCGACAGGTGAACTTGAGCCTCCTTTGGACTCACGGCAGGTCAACTGAGGTAAAACCTTCTAGTGTGACAACAAAGCTCCTTCACATCGGTTATGATATCCCTGTTGAAAAGAAAACAGCATATGCTGGTTAGGTATGTTTTGAAGCATGGCAGCTGGTTTAAGCTGGTCCTTAGCTGGTTTGAGCTGGTCATGTGCTGGTCCTAAGCAACTAGCTCCTGCTCAAGACCAGCTCAGGACCAGCTTAAACCAGCTCATGATAAACTAAGGACCAGCTTAAACCAGCTGCCATGCTTCAAAACATACGTACCTAACAAGCATATGCTGTTTTTTGTTGTTGTTTTTTACAGGGATGGAACCCTGTTGGTATACATGTGTCAGCTAGGAAAGAACCAGAGAGGACACTCACGTATACTGGTGTCTGGCAGTTGAGCCTCTGTTCGATTTTTTAAAATGGTGGTGGTGAGAATAGTGGAACAAAAATAAAGTCAATTTCCAGTAACAATTCAGAGAAAGACTCCACAGTAGAGGAAATTAATACATGCATGGCAAGCACACAGACCTAGCAGAACCCTGACCTTCTCTCATTCTTATCACCCACAGCTGAGTGGTGTCATCTTGATTATGCCTTTGTTAGTAAGTACTATCCCCACCGTGTACCTCATACACCTAATGGGTGGTAGCTGTTCAAATAATGTATATGTTGCTGTGTGAACAGGACAGCTTGGTAGTTACACCTGTTAAATACAGTCCCAAACATAATTCTAAATACTGACAGTTTGAATATAGCAAATGTTTTGAGGAAATTAAAAAAAATAAAGTATTTATAAAAATGTGCAGATGACACTTACTTGAAGGGAGTGGAGGGCTGACAGTATCACTGGCTTCACTCACTCCTACTTTACCCACTATCCTGTAGCGGATCAGGTACTGCTTTCCAGATATCAATCCAGTCAGAGTAACGTCTTCATCAGCTGTGTCTACGACAAGCCACTGTTCCTCAGCTCCAGAATCTGCTTTCATCTGCTGGTACTCTACTCTATACTTCACTGTTTCTCCAGTTGGGGATTTCTGCAGTTTCAGGGACACAGTTTGGTCCAGAACTTTCTTCACTACTGGTGGGGGTGGCTTGGACACAGGCTGGAACTGTGTATCTGTCAGATTCCCTTTTTCATACAGATAGATCGAGGAGCCTGGACTGGAGGAATCAGAGATTGCAGAAATAATGAAGTGCATTCTCGTTTCATCTTTATTGGCCTCTGAAAAACTTCTGAAGTGAGATATGTTTTCTCTCATTTTTGAAGTGAAATCATGAGGGTTGAATGATTTTTGGACAGAAGATGTCGGGGTAAACTTGTTTACCTCATCTAACTCTTTAAAGGGGTCAGATTTTAGAAACTCATTCAGGGTTGAAAGATATGGGTCTTTGTATTTCAGAGATGTGAAAGTCAAGCACACCACAACATCAATATCAGGATCGAGGAGGCTGATGAGACTGTCTGAATCTTCAATTTGGATCCCCTTCAGTGTCTTGGTGTAAACACTCAAGAGGTGAAGTTGTAACTCTGTGTCTTGTAACCACTGGTTAAGCATGCTAGCATTAAAAGGGGAAAGGTAGTGGATCTTCAGGATGTCTGCCAGTGACCTTTCCTCCATCCCTCCTCCTCGAATAGCAGGCAAGACTCTGGCCAGTGCTTTCTGGAGCACCATCTTATAAATGCTAAATGAACCCTGAAATGAGTCCAGCCTCTCTTTGATGTCACTGAAAAAATGTACCATTTTTCTTCTGGACAGGTCTTTGCATCTCCTCTCTACTTCTCCCAGCTTCTCTATTATATCTTCAGTGTTGGAAATGAGTTGCGTGCTGATTTCTCTCACCAACTGAGCTGCTTTTGAATCCAGTAGAGAAAGAGGATAGAGCCAGACTTTTATTGGCACGGCATTCTGTGGATTCTCCCTCAGCAGAGAGGGGAGCTTCTTGTACACCTCTAGGGCCTCTATGTACGTGGTGGGGTTCTGCTCAAGATGGACATCACCATGAAATGTGCAGGTGATTTTCTCAGCCTTTTTCTTATCCTCATCTGTCATTTCTACAGCTCCTTGTCCCTCAATGGAAAATCCAGGGATTTTCTTGACCATGACATTCTACAGCTCCTTGTCCCTCAATGGAAAATCCAGGGATTTTCTTGACCATGACATTCTACAGCTCCTTGTCCCTCAATGGAAAATCCAGGGATTTTCTTGACCATGACATTCTACAGCTCCTTGTCCCTCAATGGAAAATCCAGGGATTTTCTTGACCATGACATTCAGTTCTCCCTCAATCTCCTGCCTGTTTTCATCTTCTACAAATGACCGATCAAACACCATGAAGGCCTGAGCTCCGTACAGAACAGCTGTGATCACATGAGTTGCAGTTTTCTGCTCAAACACCTGAGGGTAGGTGAACTGGCCCAGATGAGTCATAGTGAGTTGTTCGAATCTTGAGGTTTCACTGTGATGCATTGTTATTCTGGACTGTTGGTTTGAAGATTTAGTGTTCCGCAGGTACTTGGCAGATCCTCCCACCTCAACTAACCCTCCCAAAAAGCTGGCCTTCAGGGAAGCACTTACATCCAGGAGACTGGACTTGTCAGAGAGAGAGTCCGAGCTACTGAACTTTAAATCTGTCATGAGCTGTGGACGACTGTCCAGATCTTCACTCAGTGATTTCTTATCCCACAGAGTAACACCTGAAATGATAAACAATTTTAACAGTTACGTATGAGGATACAACGTATAACTGAAGTAGAAATGCATCCTGTATTTGTAAGAAAATTTTAAACTAATTTAATATTTGTGTGCTTAATTTTATTGTCTCAAATTGGCTATATAATTACTTTTGGTAACACTTTATAATAACTTTAATAAGTTATTAACAAACAATTATTAACAGATCATTAGTTAATATATAGTCGTTTAACTACAATTATGAGATAATGTGCTTGTAAATGTTTGCTAATGTACTCATTGTACATTACTTAATAATGTAATAAAGCAATCTCTCTTTAATAAAACACACCAGATTCAATTAATTAGACTCCAAGACCTGACGTGAGTGTCAGCCAAAGGTGAAATTCAAAATGTGCAGTGCTGGGGCTCCATTTACATTTACAGAGGTTACTGTGGAAACTGCTGTTCCATAAGCGCCACCTACTGACAGACAGTGGATTCACACTTTTATCAAGCCTGTTTGCTGTTTTTGTTCAGACCAGTGCAAAATGTTTTTGTTGTAAATCTTAACTGGTTTCTGGAGCAGTTGAAATGCCTATAATGTATAATTTTGACTCATCATATTCTATAAATAAATGTAAGGAATTATTCATATTTTAGCTCAGGTTTTGAGAGGAACCGAATCTGAAGATTCAAAGTCAACTTGATTAGAACTGATTCCAAATTTGAAATCTTATACTTCATCAACTGTTCGTCCAGCGAACGTTAAAATCGGTTTATCTTAATTTGGATACATATATTATGTCCTGGCCACAGTCATAATACCTGTTAGTTATGATTATTAAGCTACGAGCTAGGTAACACAGGATCCGGGCAAAGTTTGACTTTAAAATACACGACACAAGACAATACTTCTTTATAAATGAAACGAATTTATTTGAGCTAATCTATAGATTACATGGTACTACGCTAATGAAAACGCACACATACACACACACAAATACAGTTCAAAGGATGATTAACGGAGTTTGCATGAAGTCCCAAAATCTAGTAAGATATTTGCTACAGTTCTTTAACTTGCAACCTGAGAGAATCACAAAGCAGAGATTTGTCTTATCTTTACTGCTTAAGATCAATTCAGCACCAGTTTTCCAGCTAGTAAGGGGATTTGTTTGTTACTTGCGTTCAAGTTGACAGCTGACAACAGGCTTCCTGGATGGCTGCTTGAGGGAATCCCGGGGCTGCGGATTGGCTGCTGATCTGTCGTTTGGATGACGTCTTTTGGGAGAAGCCTCGTGGTGACTGGAGGTTTCCTTGTGACGCAGAAGCTTTGGCAGTTCTTCTCAGAGTTTCTTTGTTTGCAAGACTTCGAAGAGTTCTGGCAGTCACGAAGCTTCAACGGAGTGTTTGAGTTCTGAATGACCCGATCGCGTGATGGTGAGCGTGTGAGCGCAAGTTGGAGCGCTATTAACACGGTGAAAAGAGCGAAAAAAAGGCCATGGAGTGAAAGAGCCATCTGGTTTTAAGCGAGCCGATTTGGTCCATCCCAGAAGCGATCATTCCAATCAGATATTGGTTACAGGGCGGGGCCACGCCCTGTACGGTTCCTTTTCCGTGCATGAATTAACATGATGCTTCAATTTATCACATAGGAACATCCTTTCCAGATTTTGTTAATACTTCTATAAAGTGTCGTACAACACACATTGTTCAAAATAACAGCTTTTCATTCCTTTCAATGTTCTGCAATTATCACAAGTTTTCATTCAACACTAAACTTCATATCTTACCCACACATATTAATAGCGTTATCTGCTAAAAGGGGTTATAAAACATGGATTAAACTTCCTAGGTTACAATAAACACATCAAACAGAAAGCATATTATTTGGGAGTATATTGCTCTAATACTTTAAATGATTTTAAATTATTGTCTTTTAAAATCTCCATGCAAGGTCCTGTTTCTTTTGTTGTAAGAGGAGGGAAAAGGGCGCGTTCCTTTTGGAATGCAGGGAAGACGGGGAGTTTCCTGAGGTCATGACAATGTCACGGGTGTAGATCTGCTATTCTTCTCGCTCGGACGTGGGGCTATAAAATTGTCTCTTTTGCTGATGGGATTATTAATTTATGCGGTAAATGGTCATGGGTATCACGGCACATCTGGTCCTCGAATGGTCTTCAGACAGAGGGAGTTTCTTCTCTCCTGGTGATTGAGTTAGGGTTTTAGCATTTCCGATCCCCAGAGGGATAAGGACCAGGCCTTGACAGGAAACTGGTCCAGACAATCGGGCGTCATGCGGATCATTAATTAGTTTTACGACCGCAGATGGCTGCGGAGGATAATCTTTAGTTTGTTTCTGTTGGAATGTGGTGGTTCCATGGCTCACGAGGTGGCCAAGGGTTTATTCGTGTCTGTTCACAGAAATCTTACATGAATAAAATTGAAAAAAAAAAAGTTATACAATTTTATACAACTTTTTTTTTGGTCAAAACTTGAACATTTGAACATGTTGTCACCCAACCATTATTTCTTGTTCGTTTAAAATCTGTTGCTTTTTGACATAAAACTTGTTGAAATTATTTTAGTGTGTTTATCAGAACTTTCTGAACATTTCCAGCATATTTTAACAGTACAGTGATACGTTGGCACCGATAGCCTGGTGGGCAGCGCGCCAACATATAGCGCCATTGCGCTTTGGCCGGTCCGAAATTTGAGTACTGGCTTGCGGTCCTTCCCCAATCATGTCCCCCTCCCCTCTCATCTTGTCAAAATTAACATTATCCATATTTCGTTTAATTTAATTTCCTACCGTATTGAAGAGAAATGAAGAGGCCGTTGATCTGCCAGTCGCAGGTCTATCATGCCGAGAACTCTGCTCATGTTTGCATAATGATGCATTTAAAAGTTAATGGCCAAATGTATCATTATAAAGTTCACAGTGTTGCTGCAGATGAAATATAATGCGGATAACATTAAATATTTTTTCAACAGGTTAGATATTGATTAGTTATCACGCTAACCCCTTTCTCTACCTGACTGTTGGTCTCGCATATCCGCCATGTTTGTAGTTTTTTTTAACACTTTTCATGTGTGTTTGTAGTTCTAATTGAATCCTCATCCACCGCGCAATGTGTTGTGGGCAATATTAGCCGTTAAAGCTGATTTATACTTCTGCATCGAAACCACGTCGTAAGTTGTGCGTAGCACGCATAGCTCACGGCGCAGCCTGACGTACACCTCTCCAGAAATGTAACAACGCGTCAATTCTACGCAGACCGCAAGCGCTGTGATTGGACGCTGTGATTGGTCTGCTAAAACCCTTCCCTCCATATGTATTTGAGTTTTGTGCGTATTTTTTGCACTTTAATATGCCTTAATGTTACACCTTCTTATTTAAAATAAACAAAGCACAGAACAAGTGTCTTATAATTTATTATACAACATATCATTATACATCACTTAGTTGTTCGCGACAAACAATGTTGTTCTGCCATGGAACAAGTCCTTGTGGAGACTGAAAGAGTGCCATCTTCTCCTGTTCCATTGTCGTCTCCTTTTTTGTAGTTTTAAATAAATTATCTGTTCTTGGATATTTATTTGCTGATGCTTCTCTGACAAGCTGCTTCTTCTTCGGCTTTTGCCTTGATACTTTTGGTTACACCAGCAACATGCCCATGGACACTGCAGACTAGCGGTCTGCATGTGTAATTGCACGTCGACGCAGAAGTATAAATGAAAACTGACGCGTAGCCTATGGTGTGGAAGCTACGGCGTAGGTCAGACGCAGAAGTATAAATCAGCCTTTAGAGTGTGCATGGATCTGCACTTCAAATTTCTACCGGAAGCAGTAAACCATCCGGGTACCTTTGGAATACTAATTCCAACATACTACAGTTTGGGACATACTAATTCTAATTTCGAATACTATTTAGGACAGATAGTATGCTAATTGGGACACAGCACAAGTGATTTTTTTAGTGCTGGAAATCCATTTATCCTTTGCTGAAACTTCCACGTCGTCATGGAGAGCGCAGGTCACAGTTGCTGAGCAACAGCAGACGCCACGAGCGATTTGGAAAGAAGGAGAAAGCGGCGTTTTCCACACGTTTTTAGGCGCGACATGTGAACAGCCCTTAGGAGCTTGTTTTTTCCAGGCAGCAAGATTTTAGTATTTTTTTTTATTGAAATATTCACATTCAACATTTTACATAAGCCAGGGGGCAAAGACAAGGAAAGAAGGACATACAATTATATTGCAATGATAAAAAATAAAGAAATTATTTTTTTTTATTTAAAAATTAAATAAAAACTTGGAAATGCTTACATACATTAATACACTTAACAGCTTTCTTGTTTATCAGATTATAAATACATTTTAGGTATTGTTTAACTTCTGACTTCAAAATTAAAAATAATGGCTTATAATCACCATACTTGCATTTATGTGTACTGAACTTTACCGACAAAAGTAACAAATTAATCAAATACTATTCCTTATGGAATGACATGCTCCGTAGAAGGATGAAAACATCTCAACTTTTTAGAATTCCGCAAGCGCACCGCAGGTCATGTGACAAGAACCAACCAATCAGCTTCATCCTTTCCGTGACAACTAGGAATGGGCGATACCACTTATTTTGTTTTCAATACGATACCGATACTTTTAAAGGCCAGTATCGTCGATACTGATACTGATACTGATACGATACTTATAAACTGAACTTTTTCATTATGAAATGTATTAAATTATTAAATTACTAAGAGTAAAATGGCTAGTTATCCACTTAACTTTATATTTGAAACGCATTTTAACATTCAATATGCCTTAAATGCAACTTATTAAGTTATACTTTTGTTTACACATGGTTAAAATATGTTTACTGTAGTGGTAACCATGGAAATCTACAAATACTAATAGTTGAACTACGGTTGCTTTAGTAAAACCATGGTTCATTTTCATAAGGGACTGCCAGTGACAGGCTGTTGCACGCATAAAATGCAACCTTTTTATTCTGACAGTGTATGATTTATACTAACGTTACAGAATAGAACATGATTAATATGAACTTTTAACGTTCAATTAAAATAAATGTAATTGCACAAATGTAGGCTATAATTTGTAGTTTATTTATTGTGAAATAACTCAAACATATGTTTTTCTGTCCTCTGATAAGAATTGTTCTGGACTGCGTTTCACAAAAGCATCAATGCTTTCTTATGATTCTTTTGGGAAACGCAGCCCTGTTTGAATGCACTGTCAGCAGTGAGTGAATGCACTCTGTGATGGATTGGTTCTGTCTTGCAACATTTGCGTGTGTTCAGATGAGCAGGAAAATAGTTCTATCCTTCACAATTACTCGCTAAAATAGGTTATTCATCCAATTCAATGCATATTGTACAATTTTTTTTTTTTTGTTAAATAAACAAAATCACTGGTAAATAAAACACCTTAGTATCGATATTTTTTATTTGAGTATTGATACTTTCATTACTCACATCAGTATCGATATATCAATACTTCAGGATCGATACGCCCATCCCTAGTAACAACATTGAAAGCTCAGCCAAAATGGAGGAACAGCTGATCATCGCTGTACAGAGATACCCATTTTTAAATAAATTTAGTAGCAGAGCTACTGCAAGTGATTTTCAGTACTGGAAATCCATTAATCCTTTCCTGAAACTTCTGTCGTCATGGAGAGCATAGGTCATGGTTGCTTAGCAACGGCAGACGCCACGGGAGCACAATCTGTGTGTGGTGTTAAAGGAACACTCCACTATTTTTGAAAATAGGCTCATTTTCCAACTCCCCTAGAGCTAAACAGTTGAGTATTACCGTTTTTTAATCCATTCAGCCGATCTCCGGGTCTGGCGGTAGCACTTTTATCTGTAGCTTAGCATCGATCATTGAATCTGATTAGACCGTTAGCATCTCGCTCAAAAATGACCAAAGAGTTTTTATATTTTTCACATTTAAAACGTAACTCTTCTGTAGTTACATCGTGTACTAAGACTGACGGAAAATGAAAAGTTGTGATTTTCTAGGCCGATATGGCTAGGAACTATACTCTCATTCCGGCGTAATAATCAAGGAACTTTGCTGCCGTACCATGGGTGCAGCAGGCGCAATGATATTACGCAGCGCCTGAAAA